CGACATCGCGATACAATCAGTTGTACCACATTAGGTATTTATGTACTCAAAGTCACAGTTATATACACATTTACAGACGACAATTCTTTTTAAAAGATCTTTTTAATCATGTTAATCATCAACAATATTGTTAATCATAATCTTTCAGTCATTACACAATATATATGTTTTTTCTATAAGCTTATTTTAATACTTTCTTCTTTTCCCGAATTAAATTTAAAATGAAAATTAAATATAAGTAACTTATAATATTTGTTCAGATTTAAATAATTTTTAATAATGTCATAACTATATGTATCATATAATAATATAATATAGACAGAAATAGAACTGTAGAATTAAGAATTAAGAATAATATGTAACTAATAAACTTTTTATTAAACATTCCAAGTTTTCTTTAATTAGTGGTTACTGCTTTATCGAGATAAAACTATATTTCTTTAATAAAAACAGAAAATTTCTTGAATTTATATCGATTAAAATTTTAATGACTTGTGGTCGTTCCTAAGTAGATTTAATCAAATATCTTCTTAATTTCATATTGAATGCAAAGTGAATTCAATTAAATTGATGGCCATTAAATCTTTTTGTTCAATCGAATTTATTTTGCAATAAAACACAAAAAGTATAATCAGTATTTATTTGAAAATATTATTTATTTCAAACAAATCAGATGTGTATGATCTCGAATGAGATTAATTAGGAATTCCATTACGTAAGAATCAAAAGACTGAAAAAAATTGCTGACCAACATTGTGATGGTAAAGAAATATGTTTGTGTTACACTATAAAATTTTATTTGTAAGAGCACATATTGACGGAGATATTTTCTTCTTTGCTCGAAGTTTGAAGGCAGACACCTGAATCAACGAGTACTTTCCCGCGGAAACAGTTCGCATTTTGCAAAGCCGATGTTGATTCTGACAGATTTGCCCGAAAGAGCTGTCAAACAAAACTCGAAACTTTCGAGGAAGATTCTATTTGGGTAAGTAAAATAAAGCCAAATCTTTTATATACATACATTGCACAGTAACTACATAACAACAAGATAGAATTTAATCATAAAATCTGTAACAACAATTATTTAGAATCTCATAATTAATGGAAGAAGTTATAAAAGAACACTTATTCAATTTGAGTATATGGAAATTTTATTGTTCTGTTCAGTAATTTATTATTGAGATAATCGGCTAAAGCCAATCTATTGATTTCAGTAAATTACCAATTGTTAATCAATTGTTGTCGTAAAAAATAATTAACAATTTTTTGTCATTTCCCAGACTCGACAGTTATACATCATGGATTTTAATCTTCTAGTTCGCTGATAATAAAAGAGATATCTCATCTCTGTGGCTTCAGAGAGAGCCGGATCATAGTTTGAAAATTCTATAGCGATAACTCGATTTAAACTGAGAGTCAACTCCTGCCGCTGAAACATCGCGAACTGCGTCGGACTTGAAATTAATAGTAACTTCTGTGCTCGCGAGCATATCCGCTGAGTGCTTTGACTACATATACGAAGCAAAATCTCGACGGTAATACGAAGGTAATTTTCATCGAGGACACTTTGACTCTAATCAAGTTTCTTGCATCGAGAACGAGCTAGCTTAAAATTCCATCGTCTTGAATATTTAACTTTTACCAGGTCATCGAGCGTTTCTAGAAAAATATTCAATATTTTTTATAATTACTCATCTTGTTCTTCAAAGTACGTATACTTACATGCATCATTGTAATCGCTTTTGTATTATGAATGAAATTTTGACTGTTACTGAACATTTGTATAGAAAATTAGATCATAATTGTCAACTTATTATACTTTCAAGTCTAATGATTAAAAATTTCTATATTCAAAGAAGATTGTGTTTTATTTTTATTGTTTGATTGTTAATTAAGCTTCTTTTGTACTGCGCAGTTTTACGCTATGCGAAAAATGAAAAAAATAGTTATAAAATATTTGACATGTTTTTCTTTCCAATCTCAAACGACAGTTACATTGTACTTAATTCAGACATACAACTATGAAAGTGTAGTTGGTTGCTTTTGTTGATAAATTTATTGCTTTTGTTATTACATTTTTTTTCTATTTTGTTTCATATTCGCATACATATAAACAGAAAAAAAGAAAGATACTTGTGAGTGTTCGTATCATAAGTAGACACGAACGCAAAATCGATAGCCCAATCGCGTATTTTTCCGGCTTGTATTTCCCCAGATTCTAATTCTGGTGACGCCGGTTGACATTTTTCATCTCGATGTGCTCGACTCGATCACACACGTATGTACATGTATACACATATCTAACACATTGAATGGTAAATCGATCGAGCGATCTCACATGCCCAGTTTGAGACCGAAATCGTGAGAAGTACGTAGATAGATAACGCCAATAGTGATGATCCAAGGAGATTATTGGAATCTTGCCAAGTCCTTTTCAATATGGAGCTCTCACATCAACTCACTCCACTTTTCCTTGCGTTTATCCGATCGCTCGACACACGTTGTATAACGTGGCACAATGGACAAGAGAAAAATACGTCGGCCAGGTAAAAAGAGTAGGTGATACGGACTTTGTAATTGAGGCTTTTCGCGACGGAATTAAATTTACATCTTGTGAGTGGAAAGAAACTTTTAAGATGAAGCAATCTATTATTCCGATAATGTGCATAGTACGATGAACAATTAAATTTTAGAATATGACATTGACGAATCCATTTCATAATTAGAATATTTTTCTCTTTCTTACCGTTCATTTATTTCTTGTTAAGAAAATTATTATTATTTGCTTCAGACAAAAGTTAACATTCTTTTCGAAAATATCTTCAATTTTGAAAAATATTTCGTTGCCATAAAAACTCTTAAAAAGCCCATAAAAATTGATAAGAAAATTAAGAAAAGGAATCTCAATCTACATGCAGACGAAGTAGCACAGATTGATCCGACTGTTTCTGGGGCATGTTTGAAGTACCCATAGTCATAACGACGATTGGATGAATTAAGAAAGAAATTTAATTCTTGATAAACAACCCTCCGAACTTTCTCAGTTTTTTCTTTATTCCTCACTCATCATTCTTCACTTTTTTCCTCTTCTCTGAGAGGGAGATTGGCGTTCAAAGTACGATGATAAATGAGCTATTCTGAATCGAAACGACTCTACTACGTCTGTTTTACTCAGTCTCGTTCGTCTTCGATTTGTAAAGATCAAACAAACCTTTTCCTCTTTTCTCTCTCTTTCTCTCTCTCTCTCTCCCTCTCTCTCTCTCCCTCCCTTCCTCCTCCCCACTCTCTCTATTATTGTAATCATAATTCATCAATATGTCGACGCGCTGCCGGAAGCCGGATATTTCGTACCGGAGATTTAAAGGGATTGTCGGTATGCTGGTTAATGTATCGCCACACAATCCCACCGATCCATTGTTCCAACTAAGGAACACCCGTTGCTCTGCCCCCGGTGCTTTTCATGGAGTTAGCTTAGTCTATGCCATAAAATGGCGAGCAAGGTTCATGAGCGACGCTAAATTAAATTCATGCGAGGTTGGCCCATACTATCTGTATCTCCTACTAACCGCGTATCTCTTCAATATCATTATATATTATATATTTATTACATTATATATTATATATACATTATATATTATATATATATATTATATATATACTAGTCATTTGTTTAAGAGAAGGTACATGCACATTTCATAAAGGGTATGAAAACAACTTTATAGTACAGCGAATTTAGGTTGGTTAAACCAATATGATATATTAATTTTAACAAAAGTTCAAAGGCTAAATTCTTACACAAAAAGTTAATATATTTTATTAGAATTTTGCTAATATATATTTTGAGATATTTTTTATGTATAGAATTCCTAAAAATTATATTGCATATTTTTATAGTTATAATTTTATTCTACGTCATTTTCATTAGCCAAATGTTTTCAAGCAATCATTATGTAACTTCTAGAAGATGTTTTTACCCAGATATTTGTGTAAAATATCTCCCGCATCATAGATTGTGAAGAATATTGATATGATGAAAGAAAGTGCTTTCTCATTATAGATAGATTACGAAAATTTATGGTCTCCATGTAAAACTCCAAGCGTTCTTTTTGTTTTAAGTATTTGCTGGATGACATTGCTGTAAATTGACCAATTTTTCAGCAAGATAATCCGAGCAGCACTAATACGATTAATTGTTTTGCATTTTGTTTATGACAGGATTTATCAATCATAAAAGTTATTATAATCTTAAAAAATCAAGCGATTAACGTTATCAGACAATTACTTGATCTTGTTAATAATACGAGCGCTGAATTGTACGATCCATATAAAACATAACTTCTCACAAAAATCGGCTTTTGTTAAATGAGAACAATGAAATTTAAATCCGTTTGTTTCGTAGATGAAAGATTAAAAAGATATAATTCAGAAAAAACAATGTAGAAAGTTTTTATTAATTTTCTTTTGAAATGGAAATTCTTTCTTTCTTTTGAAATCGAATAATTTTGTATCTTTCTAGATAAAACTTGTAAACTTCTTTTTTTAATTATATATTATACATTATATGAATCTCTCATTTCGTAATCTTTAAATTATTATTAATGTAAATTTATTTTTTCAGAATAATGATTATTGATTCAGGTGATCGTATACCTTCTAAGACAGATTTTTCCGATGTAAAGAAAATCGTGCATTGCGGCAATTGATTTCTTGTCATCTCACGAGATCTATTTAACCTTTTTGACAGAGAGACCTTTTCCTACCCTCCTCCGCATAAGCAGAGCGCTTTTTCCAGCTGATGTCTTCATGGTTACTGTGTCGCGCTCGTCTCTTCAAACGTTCGCGCAAGTTCGGTCTAGATTCCTGTGTTGTAAATCCACCCTCCCAGATGCCCATCTCTCTCGCGGGCTCATACTGCGCCCGATGGTGCACACCCGGTGGCGCCTCCAAGCGATCGAGATCCCGACGCACCCCCTCGACCACGGACTGCGACGATCACCTTCAGTCGTGGGTGCAGTGCGTGCGAGTGTGCAGCGATTTCGAGAGCTGCTGCGAAAGACCGGCGTGGCTTGGAGTGCGCACAAAGTTAGATCAGTGTCATTCCCATTCATCTCTTTGTCATCATTATCATCCTCGGCGGGCACCGCTTGGGAGCAACGGTACTTGGAATTTCCTGTTCTCGACCGAAATCATCGGGTTTGTCGGGTGCCTCAACGCTACGTGGTTCCTGGTAGGCGTGCTGCATTTCTCTTGAGAAGGTATCGCGAAATCTTTTGCGTTTGCACTTAAGCAACAGAAAATAGATAAAACAAAATTCTTAAAAGTTTCGGATACCATATATATTTTTCTCTTTAGATTAGAGTACGCGAAAAATACAAAAATCATTTAAAATAAAAATATTTGATGATTTAAAACCACGTTTATTATGAAGATGCATACAAATACAATCATGCAGAGAATCATCATTCAAAATTTAAATACGTTAATAATAATTCTCTTTTTATTTAATTCTTTACAAAATATCAAATTCATATATATTGTGAAGCTTAATGATGAATAGTAAAAATTTTCAAATAATTATGTACTTTTTGATTCTTGTAATATATCATTTTCTGCAAAATGCAAAATGATATTTTTGAAATTAT